GGTTGTGGCCACCAAGAATGGTCATGAAATCGATGTTATCTACTTCGATTTATCCAAGGCGTTTGACCGAATAAATCACTCTTAACTATTATTTAAGCTGGAGCATTACGGCATCAGAGGAGCTCTTTTTGATTGGCTTAGTTCTTACTTAAGCTACAGACAGATACATGAATGTCCGAGTTGGTAAGACACATTCTGGTCACTTTCCATGTCCTAGTGAGCTTCCATAGGGAGGGGCACTTTCACCACTTCTTTTTATCATTTACACTGCCGAACTACCCAGAATCTGGAAAACTCATCCTAACGTTCATGTGCTAATGTACGCTGACGACATTAAAATTTTCGCTACCTACAATAACGAAAACTGCAGCGCTGTGAGAGGAGCCTTACAGCGTTCCATAGATGCCTGATTCGATGGTGCGCTGAGTGGGACATCTCTGTCAGTGTTGCTAAGAGTTCTCCACATTGGCACAGAACGAGAAGTTCTTTATACACAGTGGCACAGCTTTGGCCCTTAAAACATCTATCAAAGATTTGGGAGTCCTCATTGATGACAAGTTAAAACCTGACTTACAAATTACTTCCGTTACAGCGCGTGCATTTTCAATCTTATACACAATATCTCGTAACATTAAGATAACAGATATAAAAATATTAAAGCTTTACAAAGCTCTAGTAATCCCCGTGCTAGAATATGCAAGCCAGGTATGGTGCCCCTTCCTTAGAAAGCATAAACGAAGATTGGAGAGCGTTCAGAAAGTCTTTACTAGACTTTTGTTTTTTCGATGTTTTTCTGGTTCAGCCTATCCCCATTTTCTTCCACATATGAAGAACGCTTGAGACTACTAAAAATGGAGAGTCTGTCATAACGTCGTACTGTTCATGATCTTATGCTTGCTTTCAGAATTTATAGGGGTGAAACAAGGTTAAAACCTTCCAAATACTGGGTGTTTAGACCCAGCCACGGAAGGACTACCGGTTTTTCTGTTCATACGATTTCAGCAAATGGTGGGCGAAAACAATTTCGTTTTTTCTTTGGATATGATTTCTTTAGTCGTACACAAAAAATGCTTCAAAAACTACCTCGTGAAATTTTGGCTTCTAAAGATAGTAAAATTTTCAAACTCAAACTGAAAAAAGTAAACTTAAATGAAACACTTCAGATAGATTCGGGCTTATGACATCTATAATGTATGTGGAAATGTGTCGTTCATTCCTATGGTCATCCTAACTTCTTCATGATCACTGCTCGTCCTGCCTTTATTTATGCGTTTCACTCAGTTCGAGTGTACGGAGTTTTTAAACTACAAACTCAATTTCAAATACGACTTTAACTTGTGTTTTTTCTTAATAGCATTTTTTTTACATGTCTTACTAATCCATGTTTTGTCATCATGGTAGTTCAGATCTAAACAATTTGCCCTTTTCTATCAGTACAGCTTGTTGACGCTCCAGTTGATACACAAAAAGTGAAACTCATTGATATTCTCTCGGAGTCATTGGACTCTCCTCGGAATCTTTGGGCAGGGTTCTTTAGTACTATTCCATCAACGGAGGCCCGCTTTGCTTATTTTATCAAGAGCATTTTCTGCTGGCAAACGAGTTGGTATGATTACCACTCCATAGATTACACTAGCTAATATGATCTTACTCACATATGAGTTATTTGATCTCTACAATCCTTACTGCTATTCATTTGAGTCACTGCACTCTTCTCGGCATACTGGTTTGGTGAGATTAGACAGTTTACCAACCATCAAACCGTTTGCTTGTTAGAATTATTTGTTAGAATTGTTTTGCTGACAAAAAAGGGGGCATGGATACCATCTCCATGAATTACACTAATTCAATTCTGTTGACTACAGTCTTAGAGCAGTCACAAACAGGCTTTCATCACACTTCCAATAATCTAGTCCGAAAGCTTAGACCCAAACTACATCATGAATTATCGTGGTATTAGAGTACGAGTAGCTGTGTATGTCTTTTGTATGCCTTTTTTGTCTTTTTAAGAAACGCCTAGAGCGTATGTAATAAATAAAATAATTAGAACTGGCTGCCGTTCTTGAATATCGAGATGAAGTTGTCAGAAAATGGTTGGAGAACTCGATGGTATCGAGTTCTCCAACCATTCTCTGATGACTGCATCTCAACATTCAAGAACGGCAGCGCGTTATCAGTCAGATTCTCCCTTGCCAGTTTAATGTGACGAGATTGCTTGTATTTGCTGCTGGCACCAACCCAGCAGCAAAAATATTCTGGCCCGTAGTAAACCCCACTTCACTTCCGATGACCTCAACTGAGGGCCTCAGTTGACGTTTTTGAGATAAACTGACCAGCGGCCACTCCCACGTGCTTAAGAATGCGACCTGATCTGAGGGGTGAGCGTCAGGGGAGGTGCCGCGATGAATTCACCTGAAATACGTAAGAGCAGCGTCCATTCTAAGATGAATCGACCGAGAGTGTGCAAAGGATGAGACGCAGAGAAAAGACCCGTAAGTTGCTCATGAGCAACTTACGGGACATCTTACTTAACGTATTGTTGCGGTACAAGAACGCGCAAAACTGCACAATACCGGTGCCCAAAAAGGAAAGGATCAATGAACAGATGATGTCGGCAAGAAAACAAGAGAATAGGTTTTCTCCTTGTTGCATAGTTTGCTTAGGTTATTTCTGCAAAAGCTACTTAGGGCGACAATCTCTATATTTATTTCCATTCGATTTTGTTCCTACTTCCTCAATTTTTGATGAAATCTTGATTAAAAAACGCAGTTTAGTTTTGTGCATTCTTTTGGTTTGTGGATTCCTTGGTAGCGGCCGCCATCGATTTTCTTCGAAAGTGGTCGCTATCAAAGATTGCTCAGTGATGCACAAAAAATTGCTACTGGCTGACGGCGCCGAACCACGGTCGTGCGGGCTGAATGCCAATCACATACCCGTTTGACCAAACTTGCACAAGCGATATAGGTGTTTCCTCTTTGATAACGCGCAAGATTTTTTTACCTGGAAAGCGATCCGCATCTAGATCAATGGCTCGCCGGATGCTGGGCTGAGGCGCCCCACGATCAACTCAGGGAGATCCCCTGAAGGGAGGTTTACTACGGGCCTCTGATACTTTGTTTTTCAGCGCACTCCCGGCAAGATGAATCAGTCATAGGAAGTAAGTTTAGAACAGCTGTGAAGGTTTTCTCTGATGCGCAACAAAAGGCTTACACTATGACGATAGCTGACTTACAAGACCTTTGGGCACACTTCCGCAAAACATTACCGAGTCCGGGAAAATGTGATTACAAAACAAATGGAAAGATCCCTTTCTGCTTGCCGTATATCTTAGAGGAGTTGAGCAAGACGCTTAGAAGTTTTGCACTACAAGCGGACCTCCAGGACTGGATAAGAGTAGTTGACATTTACAACAGCTAGTATGAAATAGGGCATATGATAGACTTTGCAAGACTCCAAAATGCATCATGCCCGCAGGACAAGGAAGGCGACTGCATGGTTGTGGGGGTAGTTCCTTCTCACCTGTCAGACATGTGGAGGCACGTATAAAGACGGGGGCCCTTATGTATACGCGTTAAAGAACACCGAGAGGGCTCAACAAAATCGAACACTGCAACTTTACTGGGCAAGCATCGCAGACAGTTCCATAATGAAGCGACATACACGTGGAGGTCAAGATCTTAGCGTACAATCCGAAATCCTAGCACGCAAGACTTCAAAAGCGTTTTGGGCTACCGCCGAAAGTCCAAGTTTGAATCGAAAAGATGAGTGCATAGACATCACTAATGAGTTGGCGCCTTATCAGAGCTTTGCGGCTTCACGTCGAGGCCAGGTGACTAGGTGTACAGAGTGTCCCAAAAAAATGTGAACACTGTTTGATCGTCAATTTTTTTCTTCCCAACAAGTCTTTTGCCTTGCTTCATGTACCATTTTGTAAAGGAGGCTTTAACTTAGATTTGACTAATCATCGATCGCTCTTCATCACTAAGGATTACGGTAGGAACTTCGACAAGAATTTTACGCCATTAGAGGCCATATTCTCCTCGGGAACAAAACCAAACAAGCCAAAAACTTTCATGCTATGGTAATGGAAGCCGCTGAGTTCGAATATGAAATCCACACTTTACTGTGATGCTTCTTTCCTAGTTAATCCCCGATAAATCGTGATAACTCAATTCCCAGCATTTGTCAAAAATGTAATTACGTCGTCAAAAAAGCTGAAAAGATTTGTAAAAAGTTGTTAGGTGGAATCAGCATGCGCGAAAACCCTAGTACACGATTTTTCAGAATTTTTGAAAAAAATTTTGTCAAATGGCATATTTCATAATGGATTCACATGTTAGAAGTTCGAACCGTAATCCTACAGTAACGAACAGCGACGGTGATTCGCTCCATACCATAAATCTAAGTTGAAGCTCACTCTACAGAATGGTGCCTCAAGCTTGGCGAAAGGCTTGAAAGCAACGGAGTTATTAACGATCAAACAGTGTTCACAGTTTTTTGGGACACCCTGTATAAGAGAGTTAGACCTCAATTACTGTGGTTTCCAACACTTTGTCGGCATCTATTAAGGTAAGCATTAGCTTAATGCTGCCTTTACTTTCGAGTTCTTGGTTCAATGACGCATTGGACGTCTTCCTAAGCCTTGAGCCGGTTTTTGATGGGATAATTCACTCATGCATTCGATGATTTCAGATTCTGGGCGATACCGCCGAAACGTTAGTTGAGTAAAGGATATACCAATCCAGGTGTCCAGCTAAACAAGCCAAAACAAGCATGGTGATTCTGTTGTATCTTGTATTGTATGGACAGGGTCGGATGGCGCCGGGTATGGCATGCCAGCTAGTTACATATGACTCACGCCTATATCGTCCCTGCCACGTGTACCCTTGACCTGTACTCTTACCTGCGACACACATGGCTAACATGTTGGCAAGAGGCAGCAACAAGTTGACATCGATGCCGGAAGCCAAGTCTTGCAAACGTAATTGCATGCTGCAAACATGTTGTCTCATGTTGCCGACATGTCAGATACCGTACGGATACCGTACAATACCGCAGGTCAGAGGCGCAAACCAAGGGCAACAGCCAGGGCCCGGTACGCGTTGGTTTGGAGGTTTTTAGGAAACGAAGCCCCCCATGACTTCGCGAAAATTTACGAAGTCCCTCTCGACGTGAAAATCAGTAGGGAAACCCTTATTCAACCAAAATAGCAACAAAAAAGCGAAAAAAATTTTTAGGGTATGTAATTTAACAAAAAAGCAAAAAAGAAAACATTTCGAGTCATTAAAGGCTCTGCCATTGGATATAGTACCATTTTGATGCTGGGAATGTCGAGAATCTCCTAGGTCAACCAAATCTGTAGCCTCAACAATCCTGCGATGCATTTTTCGCCACATATTTCAAAGGACACCGCAAGTGATTGGAGCGCGATATCTATCAACGCGTAGAATTATACTACTTTTGGCTCAAAAAAAGGGGAGAGGCAACGGTTTGATCCGCTCTCTTCACTATATGATAGACTTTTGACCGTTTTAATCGTCCAAATCAAAAAGGTCCAAAACTTATGTGAACTCTCCGATATTTATGCTCCGAACCAACCCAGTTGGTAGAAACCAACAAATTCGAGAACGGATAAGGACACAAGTTTTGGGAACTTTTTATATAACATAGTTTGGAGTAATATTAAATGCTCATAGCCCAAATTCGGAGCCATGTGATTGTTTGTGCACTGTAAACAAGCCATTTGTTTGTTTGAGTCTCGCATTTGAAATTCGCGCGCTTGCGAAAGAACACGTTCAACTCGTGAAATCTGACATGTTCGTCGTGTTTTTTTTGGCGCTTCCTCCAGGACCTCATAAAAACGATGTCCCCGTTGCTTCTAACTCCAAAAACGAAGTCCAGTTTGACCCCAAACCATCGGTGCCGGGCCCTGGCAACAGCAACTGCAAAAGGGACAGTACTTTATTACACGGGAAAAGTTGCATACATTTTGAGGCCATTCCTTTTTCCTCGAGGAGTTGAGAGCGTTACGGCCACTTGCGTGACACCTCCTCCTCTTTTCTTACAATTCGAGGCAGTGCCCAGGCAAAACCGGGCGCATTGGTTTTTCCCTTGGAATCTGATAAAGGGGTCCCAACTAAGGCATTGCCAAAACGGCAGCGCAAATGATTCATTCACGGCTGAGAAATTCATCCACAAATACCGCCCGCCGTGACTGTACGGGACCCGTCATACTTCGCCGAAAAAAGCCCAAAAGCGCCCAAAAAAGCCCGAAAAAGCCCAAAAAAGCCCAAAAGCGCCCAAAAAAGCCCGAAAAAGCCCAAAAAAGCCCAAAAAAGCCCGAAAAAGCCCAAAAAAGCCCAAAAAAGCCCGAAAGCGCCAGAAAGAGCCGGAATGTAGAAACGAACTTTTGATAGAGTTCTGACATTATCTTATCATGCGGACGACAGAAAATGACAAAAAGGCTCGATTGCGAAGTCAACATACATGCCTTAGCGCCAAAACGTGCGAGAAGTGTTCCGGCTCTTTCTGGCGCTTTTGGGCTTTTTGGGGCTTTTTCGGGCTTTTTTGGGCTTTTTCAGGCTTTTTTGGGCTTTTTCGGGCTTTTTTGGGCTTTTTCAGGCTTTTTTGGGCTTTTTTGGGCTTTTTCGGGCTTCTTTGGGCTTTTTTCGGCGAAGTATGACGAGTCCCTACCTCGCGAGTGGCTTGGAACGGGTCTCGGCGCGAACGTAGTGAGAAGAGATGATCTTCCAAGTTCGTCTTTCAATAAATCTTGGCATCTTGATGTACAATTATGTGCAGTTGCTGAGCTTTATATAGCCAAGATTGTTAAAGTTCATTGTTAGGCTTACGTTTCGGCTTTTTTTTTCGTCAAAGCCTAAGGAGCGGGGAGCAAATGAAAATTGAGGAGACATCTGGAGGATAATTTTCATTTGCTCCTTGCTTTTTAGGCTCTGACGAAGGCGAAAAGACGAAACGTAAGCCTAATAACTAACTTTAACAATCTTGGCTATATAAGGCTCAGCAAATGTATAATCGAGCGAAGTCAGTTCGCGTTACGATAACGGGCAGGCGCGAAGGTATCGGACCATATTGAGGGACGGTTTTCTCAGCCGTGAATGAATCATTTGCGCTGCCGCTCCGGCAGTGCTTTAGTTAGAACCCCTTATCATTTCCAGGAGAAAACCTCATGCACCCAATTTAGCCTAGAGACTGCCTTGAAGCACCCGCCGCTCTATCGTCTGTTCTCCCTAAAGGGCCGTGCATACTTCACGCAATTTCAGTCGCGACGCGATTTGGCAATACTCCAACTGTTCATAACTCACTGTGAACACCTTTTGAATGTATAGAAGATAGGGCATTTTATCAATTCACGTAAGTTATACACAATATGCATGTGCAGTTTGCTAGGGCTGGATCTAAAGACTTCTGGCGAACTACCAAATCGCGTCGCGACTATAATCGCGTGAAGTATGCCCGACCCTTAAGAATCATGACTCTCAGCGTCTGGGACGAAATACCGTCCTGTTCCGCAATAAAAAGCGAAGAAACCATCGAAAAAACCTTGTCAAGCACCGCTTATTTAAGACTGCTAGGGTTTTGAAGTACTAAACCATGGAATCCCAGTGTAAAAGCTAGCCCAAACGAAGGTCGCTGCCCATGTAAGTTAAGCGCGCGAGAGAGTACGAGCTTCAGTGATGAGACATGTTCGAACGCGTTGTTTGCAACCGCTTCACAAATCCAACGCCTTTGTCAGGGATCACCTTTACAGCGTTGCATTCCATAGCATCCTGTTTCTTAATGAACGCGGCGAAAAACATATCGTCGCCACATCTCACATAGGACTTCTGACAATGGACAAATATTATGGATAAAACCTATAAACTCTAGGTTTCGCCGACATTCAGTCATCTCACTGTGTTCTACCCTTTTCCAGCTCGCGTACCCCTTCCTATTTTACATTCAAAGAATTAGTGTTGATAATGTGCTCGCCTTCAAGAGGAGCTCGAGCTCGCCCGTGGTCTCGATCGATGCGTGCCAGCCAGCTGGGTGCTACTTTACTACATACGTGATAACAAGCCCCCACGTGTTTCAATTCTTTCCCAGTTTCCCACAAACAATTCAAGCAATCACGTCCAAAAATTGGCAAGATTATCGTTGTACCACTGAGACACAACTGCCCTTCATTTCCACTCTCAATGTGAGCGCTATTTTTTCCATCATCATCAATCTACACTGCTAAAAGCTCATGAACAACTAAGCCACTTCATAACCTAATTTGTGCAACTGCAGACACCACATTGCTCGTTAAGTCATGGGCTTTTTCTCAGATTTTCTGCACAGTTTTAGGTCAATCCTTGTCACTATTGCCTTATTTGCAGAAAAAAAGCTGGGGAACCGAATAACAATGGCACTGAAAAGCACTTAGCTGGAAATGCTGTACATATCCGTTCTCGATAGAAGACTAGATGTACTTGACGTGCACAGTTGCACTCCGTTTGTTTCTTCCAATTCCGATTGTCTGTAATATCACTTTTTTATGAAACATGTCAACTAAAGACAAATATCGAATTACATGTGAATCAAGAAACCACTTTATTTGGTCTTTGACAGTTGAGAGACTGGACAGCAGGAAGTGAACCCTACGGAACCCAAATAGAAGGTTATTAAAACCGTAAGAACATATCACTATTCATTATTTCATTGTTCCCTATTCATTTTTCTTGGCGTAAACAAGGTAGGTTTCCGATCCGATCCCTTCCTCATCTGTTATGACTACCGACCCGTGATGCTATTGCTAGTGAGTGCACTGATGATACATTTCACTAAACACGACATATGTTTTTACAAGTCACAGTTCATTCCATTTAGTACATTTCAATGCAGCCGAGACTTTCAAATTCTCTTCTTCAAGTGTAGAAAGTGATGTTTTGCTAGCTCGAAATCGGTTAGAAAGATGTTTATTGGCATACACTGCGGATGAAAAACGTCATTTTGAACGCACATTATGTTCACTCACAATCGAAGGTCCTATACTTTATGCATTTTCCTTCAAAATTTCTTACGATTCGACAGATAAAATAGACATTCAAGAGCAAACTCTTTGCACTCATTCGAATAATTCATGCGCTTATTAATAGTCTTTTACTTCTTTTGCTGCTTGTTTGCATCTGCGCTCTTGTTGTTTAGTCTAAAACGAGAAGTTTTCTTCTTCTATTAGGTCATGCATACACAGTGTTCTTGATATTTTAAATCTCACCAAATGATCAGATGCTTACCAGATTTCACAAAACGTTAACACGATTACGAACCAAAACAAATAAAAAGAACAGTAGTCAGTTTCATTGATTTTTCGCTTGTGAAGGACCACACTTTGTACAAAAGGCTATGCATGAAGTACAACACAAACACTTGTTGAACTGTGGAGTCAATTCTCGCTTATCGATTTTCGCACCGTCCCTGCCATAATGTGCAGATGCGCAGTAAGTTGAATCCCCATCAGTAACACTTGGAAATCATAGAACTCAACTAACTGTTTTGCTTTGAGACAGATAGATGACTGCAGGAATAGCAGCGTTCAGTAAGATATCGCAAATCAAATGATAGGGTGAGGAAATCTTTCCTGCAAGAAATTCCCTCGGCGTTTTCTTTTGTTTCAGAATAAAAGCCCAAAAATAAAGGCAAATAAATGATGTCGTTTTTTGTGATAACCCCTCATCTAATGTTTCACAAAAAATAGCTTTGTAAGCTTAGCTCGATATAGCTTTGTTGAGGCTAAAGTGTAGTAATAGGTCGTTACATAAAATCTGTTACACTAACCGAAAATATCTCCGTAACTTCCTCAAAGATTTGATCTCATTTTCAAATGCTGTAGAGATTGTGAATTTTCGCTGTGTACATAATATATCAAGCTAACCGAAAATTTGTTCGCATTATTTCCAAAAAATTGTAACTTCTTTTCCCTTTAATAAACCTGCATAACCAGAAACAGCTTTAGAAAGAGCAAAGCGTACATTTTCTAAAGCCACCTTGCTTGCTTTTTCTAAGCTTTGGTGGCTGAAAAATTGGGGGAAGTAAATCACTTTAATTTCGGAAGTTTCAGGCAAGTCCGTTAAAATTTCCATGTGCCATAAAGTCCAAAACAGGCTGTATCCTAGATTATTTACCCCTTTCTACCGGAGAAATCTCGCTGATTGAGCTGTTTTTTGAATTATGATTTTGAGACAAATTACCATGAAATCAATTTTCTTGAGAAAATGATTTTTGGCATTTCTCCTCGAAAATCTTAACTTTTCAAAGAAGAGCTTGGTCAGTGCGAATTTTGCTCAGCTAAAAAGAGGGGATCAGGAAAAACCTAGTTAACTGCATGTGTTGAGTTTTGAGGCACAGTTTTGGAATTTCTAATGGGCTTGCCTCAAAATTCCGAAATTGTGTTTTCTTTTTCTCGATTTTGTTCAGAAGCTTAGCAAAGAGCAGGCAAGGTGTCCTTAGAAAGTAAACGCTTTGCTCTTCCTAATGTTATTTTTGTCGTTCACGATTATCGCAACAAAAGGAAGTTACGACTCTTGAAAATGAAGCGAACGAACTTTCGGTTCAACCTAATATATGAAGAAAAGCTTTTGGGAATTTTTCAAATTGTTTTTGCAATCTGCATTAATGAGAATTCATTACTTTCGAACTGCTCTTGCAACACTGCTTATGCTCACGGAAGTCCATAGGAAATTTAAAAATGAGAAGATAAAGAGAAAATTCTAAAAAGATGCCGTTTTACTACAACTAAGTAGAATGTGTCTGCCAAGGAACCCTATGACCTATTCTCATACTCTCAGTTAACTTACACGGGTTATAAAAATGTGAAAATGACTTGTTTATTCGTGTAAATAATTAGAATGCCCGCAAAAATTTTGAGAAGCACCTCGAAAAATTTTTCGGAGTGCGTGCCGACGCACCTTTTCGAAACAATTTTTGTCGCCCCCTCCCCCCGGACGGAAATCTTGCGACCGCCACTGTCTCGTATATATTTCGAATATTTGACTGCGGTTGTTGCAAAAGGACACCACTTTCTTTGCTGTTTTGAAGTCAGTTGAGTCCGTCACGCCCCCACCGTTTCTAATTATCCACTTATGGTTCAAAGGAATGGCCGCCTTATATAAACGTGCGATTCCGCACTTTGCGAATGGCCATCAGACGCCAAAGTTAAAACCTAAGCGTATGATTGAAAATTTCAAAACTGCATAGTGACATCTTTGCGAAAAATAAATGCATACATAGGGGTGACACCACGTAAAATAACTGCTACACGCATTTTTACATGTTTATGGCCCATGGCCATTGTGAAGTTACATAAAAACGCTATGTGACACGCTCATACACACTTGCATGCATTAAGCTAAATTGCAGTTGCTTGATCTATCAGACAAATGCTCAGTGCCACAGTTAAGCAAGTATTGTGCTGAGAAGTGCGATTGTACATTTCACGTAGTAAATTCGATTATTCGAAAGTCGCAAAACCTCGAATATATTCGATTATTCGGTTATTCGAAATTTTTGGTTTTCGAAAATACTCGAACATTCGAGTATCTACTTCCAATACAGTTATTCGATTATTCGACAATTTCGTAAGATCGAACACTACATAACAGCGTCACATTTTTGATTGCTATATCAGCAAATATCGTTAGTTGTAGTTGCCCACTACATGAAGTAGTTCATTGTGCTAATTCAATATCTGTCTAAAGTATTTGAATAGTCAGTGCGAAGTATTCGTTAAATCGAATTTTCTTCACGGATATTTCGATTATTCGAAGTTCTTTTCATTTCGAAAATATCAATATTCGCTTAATCGACAACTTTCGTATTCTGAAAATATTCGAAATTCGATTATTCGATATTTCGAATTATTCGATTACTCGCAAAAAAAACTTCAAGTATTCCACGTTATAGTCTGTAGGCCATGGGGCCCAGATCTTGCATTCTTGCGTTTCATGAATAACATTTATTTGTTATTAAGTCGGTGCGAGAGTCTGTGTCATTATTCAGACTTATGCTCGGATCACCCGAATGACTATAGAAACGCCCCAAACAGTCCAGAAATCATGTCTTTGTTCCGAGTCCTTTGCCGCGCTCGGATAATCGTCACAATCTTCAATCCATGGTTTTTGCCTACCCTAAATTTCGAAATTTCGAAAACATTTCAAACTTTTGGAAGTGCTTTGCTAACAGTGGAGAAGAGTAAATAAAGTGCAACACAACGAATCATTCAGGCTTCTTCAACCAGATTTCGGTATTTTCAAAATAGTTTTTTCCGAAAGTCCACTTTTGCGAAGTCGTGAAATATACAAATGCTTCAAACACTGACGATTCTTTGGAAATTGAACTTCCAAAAGTTGATTATGATCGAACACTAATTCTGCAAGGTAAATGAGTGTTTACCGCTTCGAAATATTGACTTTCGAATATATTGGGTACAGCTTGGGACGCTTACAAAAACAAAAGCTGTGGTGATTTCATCCTCGAACTTTTACGAAAAGGGAGGGAAAGCCTTTCACAAAGAGGGGAAAAGCCGGGTCAAATGATACCCGCGTCTATTGTTGTGAAATAATTGGAATGCACAAATGTGGAATTTATTATCATCGAAAAGATGCGTTCGAAAATTTTGATAAGCCGATATAGATGCCAGAAAAAGGTATAGATGCCAAAAAATGTACCATTAGGTTGTCCCGAAAGTTTTGTCCGTTTTTTCAAACTATCATAAAAACACGTGGAGCGAAGATAGAGAAATGCTCTAAGCACCACTCGACGCATCTTTTCCTCCTCTTTTTAACTGTCATGCTTCCATGCCGATTAATCTTTTGTTCACTGAGATAAACGCCGAAATTTCCCACCCATGGTTTTTACTATGTCCAAGTTTGGCAATTCTTCACAATCTTCATTTTCAACTTTTGGAAGTTCTTTGATAGCGATCAGATAGAGTAAACAAAGGGCAATGCAATGCAATTTTGCGGCATCTATAGCTAGCCTTGAAACTTTTTTAGAATTATTTTTCTGATGCCATCAAATTCCACTTTTGGTGATCCCATGAACCATAGAACATAAAACGGCGCACAACTAAGGTGTCATTCGATGCAGCTTTTTCTCCTCTTTCCAATGAGTGTGTATTTTTCCTTCAAAATGTGGGGTTTCTAGCGATAAAATTTCCATAATTATTGAATTTGACCCCGCCCCAGCGTGTACCGTAAAATGCGAAATCTTATATTTCGAAGCGGTAAACGCTCAGTTGCTTTGTAAAAATAGTGAATAATCGTAATTGATTTTTAAAAGTTTCAAAATCCGATGATTTGTTAGTGTTCGAGGCGTTTCTGTATTTTGGGACTTCCCATAAGTGAAGACTTTTGGAAAAATTGTCTTAATACTGAAATGCCAGCTGGACAAGCCAAAAAATTGCTTTGCATTGCCCTTTGTTTACTCTATCTGATCGCTATCAAAAGACTTCCAAAAGTTGAAAATGAAGATTGTGAAGAATTGCCAAACTTGGACATAGTAAAAACCATGGGTTCGAAATTTTGGCGTTTATCTCAGTGAACAAAAGATTAATCGGCATGGAAGCATGATAGTTAAAAAGAGGAGGGAAGGTGCGTCGGGTAGTGCTTAAAGCGCTTCTCTATCTTCGCTCCACGTGTTTTTATGATAGGTTGAAAAAACGGACAAAACTTTCGGGACAACCTGATATTATAGTGCACCTTTATCGGAACTGTTCTATCAGCTATCCCAAAACTTCAAAAAAAGGAAAAAATACCTAAAAATGGGGTATGTTAAAGCATGAATCGAAAATTCTGAACATTATTCGAGAGATTTGCAAAAGACTTGAAACAAAACATCACTGAAAAAGAACTGCATCGAACACTGTTCAAAGCGCTGGTCTATCATTATACCGAGTGATTCGAGCATAGGTCTAAAAGCAGCACGTTTCGGACCGACATAGTACTTATTCGTTGAGGTTCATTTATTCATATTGACCTTATGTACTTTTACCGAAACGGCATTGCTGTATCCGAGAATTGTGCAATTGCAAACTATAGCAGAGGAACTTCATTTTCACATACTGCATGCGTAACAATTGTTTGCGGTTGCGCCTTCATATGAAAACCTATGAACTTCCCATAATTTTGCAACTAGTACAGTATAGGCATGCGTATTATAGGCGATGTCTACGGCGACACCTTCTATATCAGCCAAGACTCTGCACAAATACGGAGCGTTCGACATGGACGAAAACGCAATATTTCGAGCATTTATCGTTGTAGGCGGACTCGCACTATTAACAACGATTTACTGCGTGATCAAATGCTGCAGGTACGCTTTTCGATCGTTATTCGAAAATTTGTATGGCAAAAAGTCTAAAGGTCCACAAATTCCCTGACTTTTTCCTCCACCCATTCTCTAGAGGCAATGTACAGCATGGTTCTCTACTTCCGTTTGTTTGTTATTCCTTCATTTTCCCAATTCAAAATAAGAAAACTGAACCGGAAAAAACCTTTCGGAGATTCTTTTTGGAGGCAGAAACGACAGTTCCGGCGCTAGTATCGTCGCATGCAACAGGGAAGTATGCTCCTGAACCGCTACAAGGCAAGACGGAGTTACGCGCACCGGTGGAGGCATGGTCCTTAGAATCCGGAGCGCTTCAGTGTTCATCTATCGGTGTTGAACAGCTGCTTTGGTTGAGAGTCCTGTTATTGTACCGCGTCAAAATATCATAACCCCAACTGCACATGGACTGTTTTTTGGAGGCAGTGCCTCACCAAAATTGAGGTAGGGCAGGATTTGGTATATTTCGTTAGAAGGCCTCTTGAACAGTCACTGCCCAAGTTTAACTCCATTTTACCTTTTCATAATGAATTGTATCTGTTTCAAAGAATTTGTTAGTTAATATCTGAGCAAGTGGGGATTCTAAGATCATTGAAGGGGAGTTTACCACATTTCAAGACATCCTTTTCATGTTTTTTAACCCTAAGTAAAACTTCAGTAGAGTGACAAGCTGTAAAAGTATGCACATTTCAACTATTACATATCCAGTCAAACCAAAGGGAAAAACAAGGGAGAATCCCAGAAATTGGCATCCTCTAGTCCTACAACCTTTCGAATAACGCCCATAGGGTGCAATACGCATACCAAAGACCGCATGCATTAAAGGCAGCGTTCAGGCAAATCTGGACCTATGAGGACTTTACGTAAAAAACAATTTTGGGGGCCCTAACTAAGGCACTGCTCAAAAGGCAGCGCAGGTGACTCACTAACGGTTGAGATATACGCCTCCAAACTGGACCCCAAGATCGTAATTCGCATGGATACATAGCGCAACCCATCTAGGACCCGCGCGAAACTGATGGGTTGCGCCATGAATCCATGGAAAATATGACCCTGGGGTCCAGTTTCGAGGGGAATACCTCAGCCGTTGAAGCATACCTGAGCTGCCGGTTGGGCAGCGGCTAATTTAGGGCCCCAAGATCACTATCCACGTGAGATCCCCATATGTCCAGCGTTGTCGCCAGGGAGGGGATCGCAGTTTAAAAGAAAGCTTCATATCCTGAAGCTGCAGGTATGGATTTCACGTTGTCTACCTATCCGTAAGCATTCCTATTATCCTTCACTATGAACATATTGAATAGGAGCGAGAAGCTGCACAAGCCGCATTTCCCAGATTTTTATATGATCTCCTAATGATCCCCAACGCCCGACCGTTTTTTCTTCAGGTCATTTTTCTTTCTTCGAAGTTAATGAAGAGTACCAAAGTTTCACTGATAATCTAATCAAACAGTGCTAGCATGTTTCTAATAAGAACAAATGATGAGCTGGAATCAAGAAATTTGTGATGTACCACACGTCGAAGGTTGGGATTTATCGAAAAATTCGATATTTCACAAACTCATTTGTTCTTACCAGCAGCATGCTTGGCACTGTTGGGTTAGAACGAACAGTACAACTCTGGAAGGATTTCGTTGGCTTCGAAGGAAGAAAAATGGCCTTGAAGAAAGAATGGTCGGACGCTGGGGATCATCAGGAGATCATACAAAAAGCTGGAAAATGCGGCTTGTGCAGCTTCTCGCTCCTATTCAATATGTTCATAGTGAAGGATGGTAGGAATACTTATGGATAAGTAGACAATGTGAAATCCAGATATCTGAAGATTCAATATAAAAAGCTTTTCTTTTAAGCTGCGATCCCCTCCCCGGAGGGGATGTCAGTGCATGCGGCCCTAAGTCACAAAGGACTCAAGGATACGTAAGTAAGTGTATATAAATTTACGTGACCTCTGTGCTTTATAAGTTGGAGCATGTGTGAGTCTCATAATAATTATGGAAGAGCGAGATCTTGGTTAGGTCAAAATCCTGTGTTCAAATTTAGTAATGCTCATGCTCACCATAGTCTGGTAGAAATTGCTCGTCTTCACTTAATGGTGTGCAGCATGTCCCTCTTTGCCATCGAAACAAAAATTTTCTCCAAATGCAATGTGCCATAACTTTCTTGCCAACCTAATGCATCAAAAAGTAACTATCGCGAACCATGATCATGCGATAAGCAGTCAACTTAAGCTAAACTCAAGATTATGTCAAGTTCAATCACTTTTCGCGCTTATCTTTTGTTTGTTTTATAGAGCGAGCTATACACTCCTTCGAAAAGCACGGTCTATCAGGATAGTGCCATTTATTCTCTGACTCAAAGACACGAACACGCTTTGCGTACTTCTGATTAACAAGTTTATGATGCGTTTCTAATGTGTTTTGGTAAACTAATAAAAAATTCGTGGAAGGACATGATAAACAGCGCAAGTTAGAACATGTTGTTTCTTAATAGTAATTTACCAAAACGCGTCAAAATGCACTCCTGAACTTGTTCAAATACGCAAAAGTGCTAATGTATCTTAATCAGAGAGTGAATGATACTATGTATGATGCATGCCGCGCGGAAAAAAGCTTCGCGCCGGATTGCTGAAAGTTTTGCAATTTTGCCACTTCTCGCTATTTGTTACTAGAGGACCAATAGTTGAATGTGCTAGATTTGCATCCGCACGGTTCGGGACCGCACCGTGGTTTTCCGCGGTCTGTCAGGTATAAGGGTTAGCTAGTCCCTTAGCCTGATGTGTAGCGGGTTTACATGAGTCTCACTATAACGTTTAACATAAAGTTATATTCAAAAGGGGGAAAGGAGAAGGGGAAGACTACCGGCTAGTGCAGGCGAATGGAGGTCACTGCCAGAGGTTGGCTGTCTTCTGCCAACCTTCTTCTCCAGCAGCTGTTGTAGCTAGCTGCGTTCCGACATGATGTTTTTAAATAAGCGTTGCGATTCTTTATATATTAGATTGGCGCTCTCGTTGTTCGATACCGCGTAGATTATAATGGTGAGCAGCAGATTGGCACGAACCAAATGCAGTGAGGAGACTGAAAGAAATCGAAGCTTTCAAAAAAGCAAAATTCGAATTCAAATAGCAAAATTCAAAGCAAAAAAATTTATGAATTTGCACGCAAAAATGATGCCATTCCAACCTAACCCGTCCCTAAGATATGAACATCCAAGACTGTGCATGAATGTTGCTACAGTTTGACTTATTTGACTCAACAGAATGAAGGAATGAAGTTTGCAGATAAGTCGAGATTGCGCCCTCGCGATATGTGACTAGTTATTGCATGCAAGGCTGCTGAGGAATAACCGCTAATGACTATAAAGTTGGATTCTTAGAGTTTGCTGAAACTCTTCATAGTGCGGTTATTTGAGAGGTCGGACACAATATTCATTTGTTGGATTGACCTCTTCTTTCGTGCCCAGAGGGAGACCCCATACCGACTACCCGAGCCCGGTTGTATGTCAGAAAAAGCTTTTCGGCAGTTGTCATCACACTGAATTCATGCTCCGTTGAAAGCAAGATTTTCAGAATCCGATACTTTTGTGAATATACGTTTGGTCCTTAATAACTCCCTTGCTTTCATGTCTTTCGCCGAGCTTGAGGCACCATTCTTTAGAGCGAGGTTCAGCCTAGATCTACATTACGGAGCGAATCATCGATCACTCTTCATTACTGTAGGATTACGGTAGGAAATTATACAAGGTTTTTGGGCTGTTAGAGGCCATATTCTGCCTCGGAATAAAAGCAAACCAACCAAGGACTCTTACACTATAGTAATGGAAGCCGCTGATTTCGAATATGAAATTTCCACTCTACTGTGACGTTTCTTTCCAAGGTTATCTCAGGTAAACTCGTAAAAATTTGTGTGTTGGAATCAGCGTGCGCGGAAACCCTATTACACGATTTTTTAAATTTTTTGAAAAAAATCTGTCAAATGGCATATTTCACAACGGATCCAGATGCTAGAAGTTTATACCGTAATCATATAGTAACGAAGGGAATGGAATTTGCTTCATACTGTAAATCTAAGCTGAACTCGCTCTACAGATTGGTGCCTCAGGCTCGGCGAAAGACAAGAAAGCAACGGAGTTATTAACGATCAAACAGTGTTAACATTTTTTTGGGACACCCTATATAAGTGCAGCGGAGGATCACATAATTAAAATACAGGGAGAAAAACCTCGATTAAATCTTATCTGTTCCCTTAATTAATGACAGACAATCAACGCGTGTCTTTAGACCGTCTCCCATGCCCCACCATGCCAATCTAGTATTGTTTTCATCATGATCAGCAATCAGGTAACCTCCGCCAAGTTTCAGCCAAATCTGTAATATGTACTCCATTTCCCTCTTATACCGTAACCCTCATTGCGATCAAAATTTGGCAGAATGGTAGCTACACCTACAACTTACGTCACAGCCATAGCAGATTTGACTGCGTCATATTCACAGAGGAGGCATAAAAAAGTTTCAAAATTCAGTTAAGAAGAATGATACAATAAGAAACATTTGCCGAATAGCATAAGAATGCTAATTTCAGGACCAGAGCCTCCCGAAGCCGAGTGCGGAAGTATGATCTGATGTCGGCAAAAGATCTGCAAAGAACCGCCTTGGCGGTGGATTCCGATTCAGAAGACGATCTTTTCGAATCGGCACCATCAGATCGATTGAAACTTGTGCCTCCTAGCAGTTCTTAGCGAATACCTTTCTGTTAGGTGTCCCGAGGGTAAACTCAATTTTCAAATAAACTGAGCTGCTTTTGTTTTCCTAAGAGACTTAAGGTACCAATCGATATAACACAAGCCCTACAAAATGACCACCAAAGCTCCACCCAAGTCGTAATAGGATAAAATTTGGAGCCAGTCTTAACTACCCTAAAACTCGGATCTCCTTCCGGAGAATTGCTACAAACTTCCAACTTGGTCGTTATAGTAGACATATCGTAGTACCCACAAATGTATTTGATGTTTTTCCGACGCTCAAAAGTGAGAAACAAAGACGGTCCGAAAATGTCTGCCACAATGCCATTTTCTCAGGTTTTCATGTATCATCGGCTCCACGATTCGTGTAGAGGCGGGGTTTTGCCGACTCAAAGCGTGGCGGTTTTTGATAGCGAGAGAGTACAAAAAACAATGCTATGACGTGGAGGTTTAACAAGTTTACCTGTGTTATCAAGCAAAGTCTGCAATACACCTTTACACGAATCGTGGAGACGATCATAATTCTCAAGTTTTTATTTCTGTTTCTGGTAATTCCGGTATTTCTCAGTTGTAAGAGCACATACGTTAGAGTTTAGATTACGCTTACTTTTGTAGTATACAATGACATATAGGGGGGTCTCAGTATTGAACCCTCATTTTTCTCGTTTTCTGTGCGCTATCCAATGAAGGTATATTTGATTACTAATTCGTGCCTACTGTATAATGACCAAGTTGGAGGTTCGTACTATTTTTTTCGCAAAAATCCAATTTTCAGCTGATAAAATATTTCGATTTTGGCTTCAAACTTTACATGGATTGAAATTGGGCGGATCTTTGCTGGTCATTTTGCAGAGCTTCATCTCCTCTATTAAAAAGTACCTTTAGTTTGCTAGGAAAACAAAAACAGCTTGATTTGTCTAGAAAAGGAGTTGATTTTGGGCAACCTAACAGAAGTTTCGTATTCTATACGATGACACTTAGAGCACCTTATGTATAGGAGGGATCACCAACATAACAATGTGCCATATCATAGTTTTCCCAGGATTTCCGTTCATGATTATTGGGGTTGTAGTTATTCCCAAAGCATGCGCCTTGCAAACACCAATGCACCTTCTTTGCAAGCTGATATGGTGGGAATAGCTGCGCGGATACGGTCATAACGTGACCACGGTTACTCTCACATTTCAACAAGTTATCTAGCAATTTATGATATTACTGTGTACGAACCAACTCTGATCTCTTTTCGGTTACTTTTTTCTGTTGCACCATCGACGAAGATGCTTTTCAGATAGTCTGATCGGTTCTTCCTTTACATCAATAATGAATAAAATATAGAAGTCAGCAACCGCCTACCTGAGAAATGAAATAGCACCTCTCATCGAAGACTTCAGCCGCTTGAGCACACGCCATCTGAGATGGGAGTGACAAGATACGTACATTTATCGAAAATCACTCAATGAAAAGCTAAACGATGATCTAAAGCACACAATTGCACCGAAGCAGATAGTAACATTGACCAAATTGATAAAACAGAAAATTTAATCCCACTAAGTCTAGGACTCAATATATGCACAAAAACAATGATCTAATCTTATATATAAAGCTGAATGTCTGTTTGCATGTATGTATGTCTGTATGTCTGTATGTACGTATGTTTCGAATAGAAAATTCCATTTCTGAACCGATCGGGACCAAACTTGGCACACATACACTACAATTTGGCAGAGGGGTGTAATCGAGCATGCTGATCACCCCCGTGGGGGTGATCAGCATGCTCGATTACACCCCTCTGCCAAATTCCAGCTCCCTAGCTCAAATTTTGCAAAAAATCGATAACATCGACATCGATCGATAACAAAAAGTGGACTGTGACACCCGCCGGGGCCCGTAGTGTATGTGTGCCAAGTTTGGTCCGGATCGGTTGAGAAATGGAATTTTCTATTCGGAACATACGGCGGAGCCGGGTAAGCCAGCTAGTGGTCAATAAAATCAAATTTGAAACGTAATAACACATAGCAAGATGAGAACCGGGATGACAATTAGGATGTAGATCAAACAACTCAGTCATTAAGATATAAATAATGAGATCTCTATAGGATAGAATTGTGGAAGGCCCGTAGATGAAGGGAAGTGAGAGGAACAAAGGGATATTGAGGGGTATGCGGTTAAACCGGGGAATGCACACGATTTAGACTGTGTTACAGCTCACGTTTCTTTGCGGACAATGGCGGCAGGACCGGACAAACGAAGTTACACCACTGCTTCTTCGTGTGAGTGACTGCTATCGCCACTGTCGTGATGGAAACGATGTCGAAGCGTTGATGAGGACGTCACGTCCGTGTCGATGCTGGGAACTGTGACATGGCCGTTATTTAGCGTTTTTTCCACAATGATTGTCGGTCCAGCAGCGGTCACCGGAGAGACTCGCTGCTCATCTGCGTCACATTCGGAGTTAAGTGATTCGCTAATGTCTGAAGTGGGCATGCATTTTGCACCGTTTCGTGGTGCACCGTTAGCCAGTAGCTGCGCCACCTAAACAACATAATATATGGAAGTTCAATGACACAGAATGAACATGCCTGTGCGCTTTTATTGGCCATCTTTCGCGCAGCAAGTTCGCCGCGTTTTTTTGCACGTTCAGCGCGACGTAACCGCTTCAATTCCTCTTTCTCCAAAATTCTTTGTTGCCTCTCCAATCTTAGCTGTTCCGCTTCTTCTTCGTAATCCTCTTCATCCCATAACAACAACTTACATAGTCCTCTCAACACTCGTAAGAGCACAGTTAGGAACGTCCCAACGACCTGGAAAGTACAGTAGTTACTAGTAACCTATTACGTATTGCCATAATGCACAAATCACGCATCTAATTGTAAGAAGCTTACAGTGTTAACTCCTAAATTTTACCTTTGTTTCTTTCTTGAAGTATGGATAAGTACAAACAGATGTAAAGGTCACACATTTTCAACGCTGTCTTTTATAACATTTCTGTTGCCTTATTGCTAGTAAATACTCCTAATGTCGCACATGCAACATACAATTGCAGAAAAGCTACAAGTTAGCCCAACATAATTTATGGCTGACTACAAACTAGATTAATGAAGTTTTCATATCTAGTGTGTTTTTCAGTTTCGTTCTCGTTTTTGTCGTTTTCTAATGGTCGTGGCTACGTATTTTTTGCTGTTGTGGAATATCGCTCGATGCTTTGGTTGGTAGTGTCAGACGGATATAGCAGTTTTTCTTATTCGTGATAGATATGGCGGTGTTTTGCTATTGTGTTGCGTTTCTTTTGTTACTGACCGCATTTATGGAGGGGTCACTTCGTCCTACTCTAAATTGTTTTTTTGGATTGAGAACTTTTTATCAAGGACGTTCCTACTTGAAATTTGTCAGGTCTGTTCAAGGCTTGGGGAGTTAAATTGGTGGATACGTAGCTAAACCAATACCCTCGCTTGAACCGCTCCGATTATCCTTGAACGATAGTAGTCCCCACTGCTATTCACCTGGCATTCCAACTCCCATATGTAACCGTGTAGTTTACTCGTATTTATATGTATCTTCTTTCGTTGATATGGGTATACTATCACGTACTTTCTTTTGCTTAACTCGAAAAACAAGCTTTCTCTGTTGTTCTTTGAAGGACGATTGGCGCCACGCTAACAGTATTTCATAGTTTAAATGGTACACCTTGAGTGTAAAGATAGAGATAAAGATAAAGGCTGGAGAACGACTGACCTTTCCACACAAGTAGATACATGGGAACACCACGAAGAAGAGGATCAACCAGAGCGTTCCCGTAGGTCGATACTCGAGACAGCAAGATGGTGAGACCATTCTGCTATCGCAAGGATACTATAATGTATAACGATAAATTTGCAGTTCCGATTGCGTTTATCCTGTACTACAACGCGATGAATTCATCAGAGGAGAGGAGTTATCGAAGGATAAACGCTCTTAGCGCTTAGAAAGCTTACATGCGTGACTTACTGTAGATATCATATGCCTCCTGCAGTATAACTTTTGCTCATCTCAAAAATGATATTGATAAATGAATAAATGATACAAAGTATGCTACCTTACTCAGTTATGTTCTTCCTCGATCAGGAAGTGAATTCTGACAGTCTTGTGCGTTTGCTCGTCTTCCACAATCTCAGTGTGTTTTATCAAGCCAAATGCAGCCAAACCGTACAGTAGGCATGGAATACCTTGGATAAAGAAGCACAAAACTTATGTAAGAAGTGAAATCGAACAAATACGAACTTACCCAAATTTGCGATCGTTATCAACCGGTAAAGGGTATTTTCGGCGCTGAGATCTTGAACCGGTCGTTTTGTGCAATGGTACTTGATGTACGGATAACACCCGACTCTGAAAATACCATATCTAATCAAACTATACAAAGTATAAATGAGTGCGCATTTTATCCTCAAAAACAAGAACAACCAAGGCCCTAAGCATGGAGGCTAAATCGATGAACGTAATACAATATCAGAAAAGCATAGCTTCGTTCATGTACTAAAAGAGATGCGTTACTTTATATTAACTTATATCTCACGACGGAATACCAGAATGCAAATGTCCTGCAAAGTAATGAAAGATGTTCAGTTGTGATCTGGAGGAAAACCAGCCTACCAGCTATATTATCTATCTATCTTAACGCCACTTAAAAACTCAGTATCACCCAAAACCGATACAGTTTGCGTAAATGGCAACAAAAGGAAGACTAACGTGACAAGCTATCACTTTCAACGTAGGACCAGTATAAAAGGAATAAGAAGAGATAGGAATTGAAAAAGAGATGGCGTCACTTGTTTTAAAAGAAGTTTCAGAGACACTGCGCATTCGAATACGCAGTATAGTATATAGTACGCATTCATATACGGGAGTTGAAGCAGTTCAAAGTTGAAGCAGCAAGGAGAAAAATAGTCTCATCGAAGAGCAACGAGCAAGAATCATAGGTGCGATAGTGTGAGAATTTGCTCACCCCCCCTTCACCCCTGAGCCGGGAACCAAGGTGACCCCCTTCACCAAAGCCGACAAAAAAAAATCAACAGTGAGGTAAGGTTATGCCTGATAAAATGACCACGCTATCAACCTATTTGTAGGCTCTACAGTCAAGAAGCAAGTGAAGGGCAATCGTGGCATTCTTCCAGCTATGTCCTTAGACCGATTTTATGAGGACCGATTTTATAAACGGTCTGAAAAAGTGAGTGTGGTCAAATTATTGGATGGTACACAAGTGCAAAACTGAGGTTTTTGCAGGCGTAATGTTCGAGAAGGAAAGGTTATACAACGCTTGTCACTTGCTTCATACGAATATGAGATGAAGGTCCGGACCGACCGATGACTGTATTCTTGTCTTAGTGTTGCCGTTTCATGCTTTGTAATTTAATGAAAATATTGAAAGATGACGACTATCAACTATTGTGAGGCCATCAGCAGTTGTAATAGAAAGTGGTTCTGAGAAGTGTGATGATAGGAAGTATCAAAAATTATGAATGATGAAGCACGTAGAAAGAAGTAAATTATTGTCTGCCCAGGAAACTCTGAAAGATACAGTAAAATTATTGCATGTATAAATGGCCATTCTTGGTAAATGTGCACGTAAATGGTAAGAAGGAAACACACCGGAGCAGGATTGGAACCTTCTCGTTATCTTCTAAAGAAGGCATTGGATGACAATGGAAGAAACAAGGACAGGAAAATCGGAACGCCTGACTGCCACGAAAAATTTATTCCGCTGAAGACTACTGGACACTGCGTAATACTGAACTTGTTAAATTCGGCTGTTGAAACAAAGTGAGGTTGTAACTACTTCTTGTTTAAATTTAGATTTAGCATAGGAGATATTTGTACGAAAATTGTTTGTGTATCGGAAAGGAGGGAGAAGATTTATAGGCAAAATTTGAAAAAATTCAATTAAAAATTCATAACGTTTGTAGATGAACAGCTAGTACAAGGAAATGCTCACCATTGAAACCGTTTCTTCCTCTGCTTTCAGAAAATATATAGTTTGTCTGGGATCCGTTGAAAAAAGTGCGTGGTGAAGGGGGTGCCTAGTGATTTCTGGAGATTTTCGAGTTTTCAACATAAAAAAATTCATAACTTCTGTAGATGAACAGCTAGTACAAGGAGATGCTCACCATTAGAACCGTCTCATTCTCCGCTTTCAGAAAATATATAGTGTAGCGCACCAGCTGGGACTGCTGATGCGGAGGGCTCTGGCGTGGGGCAGAGGAATATAGAAAAAAAAGTTTATCCGGACAAGGCCGGAACAGAACAATAATAAGAAGAACAATAACAAACAAACCGGCGGCCTTTTATAGCCGCGCGGGTACAAAGTACAACATTGACCTACGATAAAACAATAATCACAACGACAAAACCTAGTCAACTCTAACCAATATCGTTTATTTCTCTTCACTATCCTATCTTTTCTTCACATGCCTCCCCGACGAGTAGAGTCGTCCCGACGATCGTGCGACTGCCTACGGTGCGAGTGAGCGGATGTATGTCGAATGTGATGGCGGCAACTTGGAGACTCCGGTCTGCGCTTAGCCGGGTTCTGGAATGTTATCGGTGCTTGATGACGCTTCCTCTGTGGATCAGCGATCACCCAGTAGTTGGGCATGTGCTCCTCCATACGGCGACGCGCCTTCTGTCTCCTTTCCGTTCTTCGTTGCTCTCGTAACTCCAAGGATGCGGGCTCGAACACGGGTAGACGGATCAAGTCATTCACGGTGATCCTCACCTTCTCGAGAAACGTCAAAATCTGTGGCCCTATGAATGATCCACGATGCTTTCTGGGGTTGGTTCCAAGGCAGCAGGCTGGATGCGTGTATGGCGAGCTGTCTAAGACATCAGAATAGTGATCTCGGGTCACTGCAGCGAAGTTGCGTGACGGGTCAGTCAGGAACCTTACGAATTCGCGGCATACTTCGCCGATTTTCCTCCATTCTTCTGCGTTTCGGTCTTCAAAGGGGCTGGGAAGGAAGACGAGCGTTCCGCCATCTTGGACATGCCTTTCAATTCCAATCAGGAGCTGGCGCATGTGTCTGCTTTCTGGCATGGTATCAGGCCATACAATCACCATCGCTTTCGTGATTTCGCGAGATGTTACCAGTTTGTGGGCGAGCTTCCCGAAATCGTCGTAAATGTACACAATGATGTTGTCCTCGTACGAAACTTCGTCGTCCACTTTGAAGAAGGAGTGAGGCAGAGCAATGAAGGTATTGCGGTCCGCATTGTTTTTCCAAGATGGCATCTCAATCTGGTCCAGCATCATGACCGCTTCTGTCAGAATGTCCCCGATGGGGTATTCGCTGGGCCAAGGAAATATTGCGGGATGTTCGTACTTGACTCCTTTCGCTTCTTCCAGTCCTTTGGCGTACAAGGGACAGTGCCTCCTATGGGCATCCATGGCCACGGCTAATCCATACGGTGAGAGGTACGACGAGTGCTTCCGTCGGAGCTCCAGCTCTTTCTTCTCATCCGTCCAGCATTCTTGCTCCGAGATGCTTGCCACGTTGGCCAGTTCGAACATGTCGTCTACTTTTTTCGCCCTTGCCAGCGGGTGTCTCAACTCCGGCATAGCTACATGCGCCATTTGTCCAAATAGACCGCAGCAGCAGCGAAATCGTAGGTTCAGGCGGTCGTTTTCGGCCAGAAGAGTCCTGGAAAAAGAGATTTTATTACACCGAACCACTGCCGTCCTATTTTTCTTGGGGCGTCCTCTTTTGCCCCTACTCTTTTTTGTTAGCAATGGCTCGTCGGAGATACCCCGGGGTAGCTTCCTAAGCAAGTCAAATGGTACCCTCACTGGTTCTTTATCCTGGCCGATCATCGTAATTAGGGCGCTATGTTCACTGACATCTATAACTCGGTAGGGTCCTTCCCAGGGATTCGCTAATTTGGGATGGCTTGAAGACTGTTTCTCGCTGGGGATTCGCATGTAGACCCGGTCACCTACTTTGGGGGGTGCCGGACAACTCTCCACTCCCTTCTCACGGTCATATGAGGCTTTCATACGCTCCCGCATTTTGTCATTTACCCTGCGTGCATACTCACGCGCAATTTGCGTCCCTACAGCCATCTCCTGGGCATAGCTGTCTATGTCCACCGCGTATCTGTGGACTTCAGGCTCCAAATCCCACGGAACATGCGCGTCGAAACCGTGTAACAGGAAAAATGGGGACTCTCCAGTGGACTCATGCACTGTGGTATTGTACGCAAACACACAGGCGGGTAAGATTTTATCCCATTCCACTGCGACGGAGACCTTCTTCCTCAACATCGAGATGATGGTCTGATTAAACCTTTCAGTGAGGCCATTTTCGCGAGGGTTGTACCCTTTGGTGAAACTTTGTTCAAATCCCATCAACTTTCGTAGCTCTTCCATTAGCTTGTTTTCGAACTCCCCTCCCTGATCTGAGAGGAGACACTTGGGCTGGCGTCCGCCTTCCGCCACCCACCGTTCAAAAAACACTCGAGCTACCACCGGCGCAGCTTTGGATGGGACCGCATAGGCACCGGCGAACTTTGAGAAATGGTCGACCACGGTTAGAATGTAGCGGTTCCCTTCCGTGGTGATACCCATTTCCAAAATGTCTATACCCACTACCTCAAATGGCCTAGTGGTCACGATTGGACGTAGTGGTGGGACCATTGCCCGCTGGGGGTTGTGACAAAGGCATTCTCGGCACTCCTCTGCCCAGCGCCAGATGTCCCTTCTCATAGATTCCCAGAAGAATCTCTTAGATAGCTCACGCCACATCTTCTTGGCGCCGAAGTGTCCCGCTAACACTCCGTAATGTGCATCTTCGAAGAGTTTCTTTCTCTGGGAGGGTGGTACCACCTTCCGCAAGCGGTCCTTATCCACCAGCATAAGGTGACCTCCGCTCATGATGAAGTCAGCTACCTTGTACCTCAGCGATGATCCCGGAAATTCCACTTTTCCATCCACTTCGTCCTTTTCCAGTCCTTCTAAGATTTTCTGGTAGACTGGTTCTTCACGAAGCTCTTTTGTCCATGCTGCTTCCTCCATTGCAGATGCGACGATCAGCTCCCCTGGCATGGTATCGTCAACATCCGTACAGCATTCCATCTCCCGTATCGCACCGCGGCTCAAGGCATCCGCTACCCGATTTGCCGCTCCTTTCAGGTAGACAATCTTCAGATCGTACTTCTGAAGCTCAAGTG